TTCAGCTACGGACGTTCCCGTCTGTAACATGCCGATGGCACGTTCACGTTGCACATTTGAAAGGCGTGGCTTTCACGAGTGACATAATTTCCGTAATCACTCGTACCGAGTGGGTTATTCTATTTATTACCCATATTCATATTAAAGACATGTTTCAAGAAAAAAACAATCAACTGTCGCCGATCAAGAATCAGGTGTTTTGTATCAATCCGCGTGTGAAAAAATACCGTCCTCTCATTCCAACCGCATTTCTCAATTAACATGTTGTTACGCGTGAAAAATATAGTTCTGTTAAAAATTGTAATTAAAAGATCAAATTATTGCAGTTATATTTCTGTCCGATTTACACAGCGTACACTATCTAGCATTGATAAAGAAGACAGGTTTCCAAAAAGGTTCATCAGGTTTTTTTAATCAAAGCTTGTTTTGACAAGATCTCGTCACTGACAGACAGCCCCCGTCGTGCATCGGCAGATACATGCATTTCACATTGAGAAGAGGAAACACGGAAAACCTGTCAATTTTTTTATGTGTCATTTGACAAAAATGCCAAAACCTATAACAACAACATAGATGGAATGTACAGAAGTCTTGTTTGTTAGAGAAAAGTTACGAAAAGAAGGTAAACTTTGAAAAGTACGATTGCTGTCTCAGTGTCGGAATGAATGACCCGACTTGACCCAGATATGAGACAGCCGAAACCAGGAATGACAAGAGAACCGGTTATAAATTAATCCGGACTGCAAGTTTAATGAACATCGTGTGTGATTTAAGACAAGTGTCACTGATGGGAAACATGTGCATGTGGGATTTCAGGAGGATTTGTCAAACGCGGAGTGGACACAGTCAGATGACGGGAGTTTGTTGATATTTTGATGTGATTCATAATGGTCGAATACCTGTTGATAGACAAACACGGTATCTGGAGACTTGGTGCTAAGCTGTCCGCATTCACGGAGTTCATTTAGTTCAATATCGGACACAGGATCAGCTCGCTGGGGTAAGTTTTACTTTTCCTTGTATTTTTAATTATTTTTGTTTTGATTTCAAAACCTCCGAGTTCAGCAAACTGCATCGATTTCGCAACCAGATGCTGTTAATCATTTCGCTAAGGTAACACTCTATGCTACCCTTGATCTCCTTCAAAGTAGACAGTTCGAATTCTGAACTGTCTGATGTGCATGTCGAAATGATAAATTTGCAAATAATAATGTTTAGTTGCACCTTTCCTGTGTCATTAACCCTCATAGTCATATGGTCAGCGGACGTCAGTCAGCCTGCATACCGCTCAGCGCCGTAGAATCTATTTTGCAGACGTCGCGGTTACGAAAAACGTATACATTGTATAAACAAGTGTCACGTCCTTATTTCTTCACACAACGTTACAAAATTGTACGAAATAGTGTATCTTTATGATGTCTTTCGGAAAGTCTAAATGTCGTTGCAAAATGAATTTGTATTTATTCTGATGCCATCGTTGAAAGTGTGAGTAGTCATATTTTTCGTGCTTTTCTTACCTTTATACATTTGTGAACCAAATTCATGTCAACTTGTCAAGTTTAGACTTTTTCATTGTGTTTTCATTTTCATTGGCAGTTATCGATGTCATCATCGTTCACAAAGGCAAACCTGTCTATACAAAGTCCGGTTTTTGGATCCGGGTGGTCGAAAAATTCATGAAACAGCAAGCTCTCTAACACAGACGCAAACCAGGACTTGGTGGTGATGATCTTGGCGCCCTAGAAACAGTTTCTGGCAACATCACAATCTGAATCTTGGAACTTTAGTCTGGCCATATGCAGTTTTGACAACAAAGACATTAAATGTGTTCAGAGGTTGAATTATACGAATAACTTTTCATGTCAGTCAGATCTCCGTCCGCTTTAACGAGGTCATTTACTTTGACAGGTCTCAAATGGCCAGCCATGTTTGTTTACAAACGGGGACGTAGTTTTGGTTTTTACTGTAAAATGAAAATCATGTGAAATAAATGAAAAAAATGATAATGTGAAATCATGTTGTTAATATGAAACTATGTGTCTTGCCTTAAAAATCTCGAATCAGTGAGATTGTAGCACGTAAAACATCTGAATGAATGTGAATGAATGGGATGAGAAAACAATAGTTCCGTTGTCCAATGAAAATTGATCTTTGTTCCACTGACCAATCCGCTTCGAGAATCACTAATTGCACACTGTGCAAATATCAAAAAGTTATTACACTGCATATTTGAGCCCATATGGGTAATAAATATAATAAATCTATTTGCAGTTTATATTAAACAATTCATTTAAAGGAAAATCTGCCAGTTTTAAATAAGAAGTTTTGTATAGAATCTAATATTAGGATTTGCGCTTCCTTACTCAAATACGAATTTCCGCATAGCACTGTTTGTAAAAAAACCAAGTTGGTAAAAATACATTTCATTTCGAAGAACATAGTAATTTGTACACACACAAAAAAAAGTGTAAAGCATCTTCGGTATGATATCCACAGGAACAAGTTTTTGTATCCAAGATATATCTATCATTCTGATCGGCGTTAAGATCGCTGCTGCCAAGCCTGAGGAATAATTTGACATAATCTGCTTCCATTAAATTAAAGTTAAATCACACTGTATGCCATTATCTCCCTTTACGTGAAGCAAATTCTTAAATTCTGTAACGGTCTCTGTCCCCCGTTAGGTTTTCTGGTAACATATTCCAAAGTTGTGTTGTAGCTGGTATAGATGAATCTGCATAAGCTTTTGTTTTAACCTTCACAGTTTGAAGATTAGTTTTATCCCTTAAGTCATAATTTGTGTTTTCCGAAACTGTATTAGGAATAAGCCTGTGTGCCATAGGGCTCGGCCCTGGGACCATTCTTGTTTATTATCTATATCAATGACATTGTTGAAAGAATAAAAAGTAGTATAAGACTTCTTGCTGATGACACATCTTTGCATGTGATCATAGAAGATGCTAATATAGCTGCTCGTGATCTCAATAATGACTTGGACCGAATTTCAACAGAATGGGCTGCTAGATGGCAAGTTAAATTTAGTCCCGAAAAAACTGAATCTATTCAATTTACCCGTACAGTAAACCTCAGTCGCAAACCTAACTTATATATATGAATGGATGTACAAAGCCATAAGCACCTAGGTATTACTTTACAAAGTAATTGTACATGGAAAATGCACATTGATGATATTGTAAGGAAATGTTGTCCTCCAGTTAATTGTTTAAGGAGTTATAAATATCGTCTATCCCGAACTACCTTAGAAACTATGTACAAATCATTTATTTTACCAATTTTTGTATATTGGAGTCATATTTGGGACAACTGTGTTATTGAACAAGCTAACTAATTGGAGTGAGTGAATATGGTTTTACGCCACCTTTAGCAATATTCCAGCAATATCACGGCGGGGGAAACCAGAAATGGGCTTCACACATTGTACCCATGTCGGGAATCGAACCCGGGTCTTCAGCGTGACGAGCGAACGCTTTAACCACTAGGCTACCCGACCGCCCCCTAACTTATTGAAAAAAATTACACTCAGATGCTCTTAGAACCCTATGTGGCGCTGTCCGGGTACGAGTCATCTGAAGATTTACAATGAAACAAATTGTAAGTCAATAAAAGACAGAAGATACAATTCAAAACTGGTAATGTTTTACAAAGTGAATAAACATTTATCCCCGGAATATCTTTGTAGTGATAAACAAATGGGATTAGCATCTTATAAATAACGGCAATTAAGTGTTTCAAGGCATGTAGATGGCATGGATCCAGGGTAATTAGGCTTTGGAATCAAATGTTCATTCAGACAATGGTTGTCGTAAATCAGTCGCTATGACACTTCCATAAATTACACCGCAAATCTGAAGAAAACACACAACTACCTAGAAAATGAATTTCGTTTTCGATTCGCCATTACTACAATAATTACAAATCCAATCATGTAGAGGGATTTTAGGGAGAGAATATGTACCTCGGTAATGTGCCACCACGAAATTTACTCATATGCATAATACTGCCTTCAGGGCTACTGAGTGTGGCGAAGTAAGGTGAAATTGGGTTAAACGTCGCCTGCAAGATTATTGCACTGACAGAGCGACGTGCATGCACGTGTGTGTATTGGTGCTTCACAAGTCCGACTAATGCTGATTTTAGCCCGCTATGGATAATTACAATCAATACCAAATTTTACATGTAAATTTGATTCAACTCTTTCATAAAAAATTATATATATATACCATTTTTTTATAAATGATATGTGTTCACCGATCAGGTGTACCATCAAAATGTGTTCGTGATGATGAACTCAAAATCAACATTTGTGATGAGACGCGTGTGCACACCGTAAACCGGTCGACTTCCTATGCATAACAAGGTCGACGCGTCCTGCGGTGACACACCGAGAATTCGGACGAACCTCAAATCACACATAACTTTTGGATAATGACGCCTTAAAAGATAAACACACACACAAATTTATTTATATAAAGCGAGTCATAAAGACGTCATATATATAACATGAATAGGACATGAATAAAATGAAAGATAACGAAAAAATGCACCCTGATCACTTGGGCGACACCTGCCGGGCTTTGTGTACACATAAGAGAGATTCCCGATTTACACACAAATTGCGTACTGTTAATACGCACGTGGGTTTCCAAGGCCGATCTGGGCACCGCGAGAGGTGAGTATGAAATACGCGTATACTCGCAATGTAAATCTGACAAACAGGTCGGTGTTGCTGTGAAACTGAGTCAGCATTACTGATGTTTGTTTACTATGAATGAACTCGCTATCGTTATGGGGACCTAACAGCAACTCGAGCTACACATAGGCGGTAAGGAAATGTATCCCTGTTTTTCAATCAATGCGAGACCTCTGTTCAATCAGCCGTCACTGGGAGGTTTTCGCGAGCACAGATCGAATAGCGATTGGGAAGTTCCAGCACATCGTGTCCCCTGACGTTAGAATGGTCGAATGTGTATTGCAAGGTTTATATCATCCATGTTTATAAACATATCAGTAGCTATGTCATTTGTCAATTTATGTGGACGTGTCATGTGATACAAAGGCCACCTGAGTTGTACGAGATCTGCTTTCGCTAAATGTCAACATCTGCGGGTTCGGACCGTGCCTTGGGCTTGACTGCCATCTTAAGCCGACAGGCTGTGTGGCAGGCCGGGAGTACACGTCATCCGTGACAGTAACCGTATGTATTATTGCCAGGGAACTAACTGGTCTATTTGTGTTGAATTTAACATTGACGGGTTTGCACATGGTTTTGTAGACGGGACACAACCCGAATTCACGGTTTCACAGCCTTACTGAAGCACGAAAGCAAGCTGTTTCACAGCATGGCCGTTGAACAGCGACACAGTTTCACAAACTGGCTGTAGGCGATGTGACATGGGGTACAATGTCGCGTCCAAGATTATTGCACTTATTTAGCACGGCGTGCGGTGTGTGTGTGGCTGCTTGTACTTGTCCTGACTGATGCCGATTTATAGGGCTGGCCCACTGAGATACCATGCCGCAGTTTAACATGCATACCCCGCTGAGACACAGTAAACTGACTCCGAGCCGACCAGTTCTTGTTTGAGCCCCTTAATGCCGAGCACTAGGCAGGGTAACAATTTAAGTACCATCTTTTAACGTCTTTTTGGTATGATCGAACCCCGGACCTTCCGCTCTCCGGGCGCACGCTCTATCAGTAAACCACCGACGCGTTCAAAACTGGCTGTAGCATATATATGGGACCACAGTTTCACAACCTGACCACATGTAGCATTGGGTCACAGTTTCACAACCTGACTGTAGCATGGAGCCACAGTTTCACAGCCTGACTGAAGCATGGGGCCACAGTTTCACAGCCTGACTGTAGCATGGGGCCACAGTTTCACAACCTGACTGTAGAATGGGGTGTCACAGTTTCACAACCTGACTGTAGCATGTAGACACAGTTTCACAGCCTGACTGAAGCATGGGGCCACAGTTTCACAACCTGACTGTAGCATGGAGCCACAGTTTCACAGCCTGACTGAAGCATGGAGCCACAGTTTCACAACCTGACTGTAGCATGGAGCCACAGTTTCACAACCTGACTGAAGCATGGGGTCACAGTTTCACAGCCTGACTGTAGCATGGGGCCACAGTTTCACAACCTGACTGAAGCATGGGGTCACAGTTTCACAGTCTGACTGTAGCATGGAGCCAGAGTTTCACAGCCTGACTGTAGCATGGAGTCACAGTTTCACAGCCTGACTGTAGCATGGAGCCACAGTTTCACAATCTGACGGAAGCATGGGGTCACAGTTTCACAGCCTGACTGTAGCATGGGGTCACAGTTTCACAGCCTGACTGTAGCATGGAGCCACAGTTTCACAACCTGACTGAAGCATGGGGTCACAGTTTCACAACCTGTTTGTAGCATGGGGCCACAATTTTGCAGCCTGACTGTAGCATCGGGCCACAGTTACACAGCCTGACTGTAGCATGGGGCCACAGTTTCACAACCTGACTGTAGCATGGAAGCCACAGTTTCACAGCTTGACTGTAGCATAGGGCCACAGTTTCACAGCTTGACTGTAGCATGGGGCCACAGTTTCACAACCTGACTGAAGCATGGGGCCACAGTTTCACAACCTGACTGTAGCATGGAGCCACAGTTTCACAGCCTGACTGTAGCATGGGGCCACAGTTTCACAACCTGACTGTAGCATGGGGCCACAGTTTCGAAACCTGACTGTAGCATGGGGCCACAGTTTCACAGCCTGACTGTAGCATGGGGCCACAGTTTCACAACCTGACTGTAGCATGGAGCCACAGTTTCACAGATACACAGTTTCAAAGCCTGGCTGCTGAACAGTGACACGCTTGGGAAGCATTTAGTTGAGGGCAATATCAGCAGGAGTACATGTTGTACATCAGAACGCTCAGGTGAGTGATTACATAGCAGCCCGGACCCGTCACCAATAGTTACAAGGCAGAAATCTACAACAGCTCCGTTTATTCTAGCCTACACCACGTTAACTGTTACGGTTGATATAAATATTCGCCATTTTGAGTTTATGCTGAGTGTGTCGAGAATTTATCCAGTCATGACGGGGACGTTTGAACATGCAAGGTAAGTTGGGGGTGTTTGGAAGGAGTGATCTGAGGGACACACACGCGAGTGGGTACATGTTGTACCTCACCTCAGAGCGTACTGATGTGGGGGGTATAGCTGAGTGGGTGGGTACATGTTGGACATCAGGGCATACAATTGACTTGGGACATGTTGGACATCAGGGCATACAATTGACTGGGAACATGTTGGACATCAGGGCATACTATTGACTGGGAACACGTTGGACATCAGGACATACATGTACAATTGACTGGGAACATGTTGGACATCAGGGCATACAATTGACTGGGAACATGTTGGACTTTAGGGCATACTATTGACTGGGAACATGTTGGACTTTAGGGCATACTATTGACTGGGAACATGTTGGACATTAGGGCATACAATTGACTGGGAACATGTTGGACTTTAGGGCATACTATTGACTGGGAACATGTTGGACATTAGGGCATACTATTGACTGGGAACATGTTGGACATCAGGGCATACAATTGACTGGGAACATGTTGTACATCAGGGCATACTATTGACTGGGAACATGTTGTACATCAGGGCATACAATTGACTGGGAACATGTTGTACATCAGGGCATACAATTGACTGGGAACATGTTGGACATCAGGGCATACAATTGACTGGGAACATGTTGTACATCAGGGCATACTTTTGACTGGGAACACGTTGGACATCAGGGCATACTATTGACTGGGAACACGTTGGACATCAGGACATACATGTACAAATGACTGGGAACATGTTGGACTTTAGGGCATACAATTGACTGGGAACATGTTGGACTTTAGGGCATACTATTGACTGGGAACATGTTGGACATCGGGGCATACAATTGACTGGGAACATGTTGTACATCAGGGCATACAATTGACTGGGAACATGTTGGGCATTAGGGCATACAATTGACTGGGAACATGTACATCAGGGCATACAATTGACTGGGAACATGTTGGGCATTAGGGCATACAATTGACTGGGAACATGTTGGGCATTAGGGCATACAATTGACTGGGAACATGTTGGGCATCAGGGCATACTATTGACTGGGAACATGTTGTACATCAGGGCATACTATTGACTGGGAACACGTTGGACATCAGGACATACATGTACAATTGACTGGGAACATGTTGGACATCAGGGCATACAATTGACTGGGAACATGTTGAATATTGGGACATACAATTGACTGGGAACATGTTAGACATTAGGGCATACAATTGACTGGGGACATGTTGGACATACGGGCATACAATTGACTGGGAACATGTTGGACATTAGGGCATACAATTGACTGGGAACATGTTGTACATCAGGGCATACAATTGACTGGGAACATGTTGGGCATTAGGGCATACAATTGACTGGGAACATGTTGGACATCAGGGCATACAATTGACTGGGAACATGTTGTACACCAGGGCATACAATTGACTGGGAACATGTTGTACACCAGGGCATACAATTGACTGGGAACATGTTGTACACCAGGGCATACAATTGACTGGGAACATGTTGGCCATCAGGGCATACAATTGACGGGGAACATGTTGGGCATTAGGGCATACAATTGACTGGGTACATGTTGGACATTGGGGCAGAACATAACAGAACATAACGAGTTGTTTGGCTATTTTTAGCCTTATATACTCCCGGCTGACAGAATGTAATTATTTGGACGACTATCTTTGGGTATTAATGTATGTATCAGAATATCACGGGGAAGGTCATGTACTCGAAGGTAATACTGTGTTTATTAAAATATAATTTAGTTGCATGTGTGGCGGAGCGGGGCAGGACAGGCTCACCTTTTCGCGAACACCTAGTATCATCACTATTAGATAGTGATTCATAAATACATGCTCGTGACAAACACTGCAAACACGAAAACGTCGTTTTTTTCCGTATATGGTCATTGGACGGAAAAACGACGTTATTTGGACGTTTTCAAACCATCGTTTTTCCGTCCAAATAACGTCGTTATTTGACATCGGAATTTACTGGGAGAGAACGATAGCGTTAAGCTCCTCCCTTTCTTGATTGACATTGTCAATCAAGCAACAGCGTCTACCGGTATTTCTACTTCTCAGATTTCATTGGTCAGTCCCCGCGTGTTAATTTTCAGGCCCGTGTTTGACGCTGCACTCGAAGCGCTTAGCGGAAGTACTGAAATCAATCGTTCTGCGCATGCGGATTACTTAATGCCTTGACCAAATTTTCCGTTCTGTGCATGCGCGATTTCGCGTATTGTTTCCTAGATTTAATGTCACCACTATTTGACAATGGTTCATAAACACAGTCACGTGAAGGTTCGGAATCGTAACGAGTAACTCCATTTAAATTGAAGAGGATCCCCAGTGATATGAGAGATTCCAAGATGAAACTATTCTATGGCTATCTAGGCTGCCACCCAAACCGATCTAAACGGGACCCGATAGCTTATTGTATGCTATATAGTCATATGGAAGTGGACAAGAACTATACATTGTATTCCGGCCGATTGTTCTTGCATTTACTTATAAGTCAGGAAAATGGACTTAAAAGGGGAGTTGTTGAATGTAATTATTTTAATTATTAAATGTTGCCTATACACTAATCTGGACGAACTTCTCATTGTTCTGTTTATGTCATCCTATATACTATTAGTATGTTACCATTCTAAAGTCAACCTCTCACATAACATTATATTGTTCATAGTATCAAAGTTTAATCAACAATATCAAGAGCAGCGATTTAAACCACTGAAACACCCAAACACAAGGCTGTTATCAAGCGCTAGTGCAGACGTGATGCATCGTAAAAACTGTATCGTGATGTCTTCAGAAATTCAATTATACTACGAAATAGTACGGCTAACGCTGACTCACCGGTGGAACAAAGACAATGTCGCTAATGCAGATATAACGTATTTGAATGTTAATACTAAAGACAAACAATAATTATTTTTGCAGTGACGATATAACACGTATACACGTTTATTGTTAACTTTCATCAGTTTTGCTCTTCATTTTAATAACTTTGTTTTCACATATATATGTAGCAATACCCGACAAGCATGTCATACATAA